TTAGCAGGGAACACAACATCCTTCAAGATATGGTCGCTTTTTTTTTTTTTTTTAAACCTCTTCATCTCCCTCTCCTTTATCTGACAAATGTCTGAATACAGAAGGCAGACTGCCAAATTTTGAATTCTGACTCTAGGATGGTTTTTGGCCTTAGACAAGTAACATAACCTCTCCATATACAATTGTCTTCAAAGTTATACAATATATGAAAGTAAAAATATTTACAACACTGTTAGTAAGTTTGACTCCTAAGCTTTTTAGAAGAAAACAAATATCTTGTTTTTATTATAATCTTACACCACGGTCCTGGTTCATTAATACCCTGAGGCAGACTACCTAGATATGAATCTGAGCTCCACCGCTTAATATTCTCTTTGGCAAAAGCTACTTAACTTTCTGTTTCTTCATCTGTAAAATGGTAATAACAGTATCTGCTTCAGAGTGACTATTGTAAGGGTTACATTAATTAATATATCTAAAACAACTGCAAGGCACATAGTAGGCACATTTTAAGTATTAGCTATTGTTATTATTTAACTAATGGGTATGACCCTAATTTCCCATCCATGGTTGGTGCCCTTCCAGAAAATCCTGAATAACCAGTGCTTCCTTCTAACATAGAAATTGGTACAATGTATTGCAATTACCTTTCTCACACTCTAAGAAGTCTGAAATATATTTCATTTACCTCCAGGCCGCAGGCCTCTAAGAACTCCTAGCACTTACCCTTCTTTTGCTTTAGGGCCTTTTCGGTCTGCCTACCTCTGCACTCTGACCTTATGAATACAAACTTTAAATGAGAATCATACCATCACAAGTGGATTTTTGCTGAGAAAGTATTTTTTGCATGGACTCAAGTCACTTTAATTCCTTCACCAGTTTTCTACACAGCAAAAACAATTTATATTTTTTCCATTTTCATTTTACTAAAATTATTTTCATTGGAAGTATTTTTTACTGAATAAGTTATAAAGCAAGGAATTGATTCATCAAACAGTTTTTTGCATATATCAAATTCTTCTAATTACAGTTTTTGCTATTGGGTTCCTCAGGATCAAATTTTATTTTATTTTTTCATTTATTTTAAGTGTATTATTTATTTTGAGAGAGAGAGCGAGCGAGCAGGGAAGGGGCAGAGAGAGAGAGAGGAAGAAAGAGAATCCCAAGCAGGCTCGGCTCTGTCAGCATAAGCCTAATGCAGGGCTTGATCCTTCGACTGTGAGATCATGACCTGAGTTGAAACCAAGAGTCAGTCGCTTAACCAACTGAGCCACCCCGGCACCCTTCAAATTAAATTTTAAATTTTATTGAAGCAATTTATCCATTAAATTTGGTCAAGAACCGTGGGCCCCTGGGTGGCTCAGTCGGTTGAGTGTCTGACTCTTGATTTCAGCTCAGGTCATAATCTCATGGTTCATGAGACTGAGCCCCATGTTAGGCTCCAAGATGACAGAGCATAGCCTGTTTGGGATTCTCTCTCTCTCTCCACCCTCTTTTCTATCTGCCCCTCCCCAACTTGTGCTTGCTTTCTCTGTCTCTCAAAAGAAATAAACTTTAAAAAAAAAAAAAAAAAACCTGTGGCCAGTTTTACTTTTTTACATATTTCTATCAAGTCTAATTTTTGGGGGGGGTCAGTTTTGGTAACTTTAAATCTTACAAGATGTAACGTTCTTTGCCAAGTTTTTTTCCTAATACATTTATCATGTGCAATGTTAACTGTTCTGGTTTTATTTCTACAATGGAAACTCATTTGTTGTGATTTGGATAAACAATTGTTTAAATTTACTTCTTAGCTAAAAATGAGAAAATTGTATCAATTCTCCAGGACCACTCTTGAGGTCAAAACGTCTCATCCCATTTCCCTTCTCCCTCATATGTTTCTGTCACTCCCATCCCTCAGATGCGAGCTTAAGCATCACTGGCTCAGGGGTGCCTCTCCTGATCTCTAAGGCTAGATCAAGTTTCCCTCTTTATGCTTACATAATACACTTATTTTTCTTTCATCACACTTATAGATTTTATAAATATATATTTCCATGAGTATTTATTGTCTCCCTCATTAAAATTTGTTCCCTAAAGGCAGGGGCTTTGTTTTTCTTGGCAATGGATCCCTGGCACATAAAAGGCACTCAAATTTATTGAAAAAAGATGAAAAGGAAAAAGGTGTCTTTTATCCCCAGTGCACATATAATGCCTGGCCAATCCTAGGCACTCATTAAAACCTACTTGCATTTCTCCATTATTGGTTATTTCTGGTTTGTTATGGTCTGACAGACAATGATCAGTTTTTCCTCTCAATACCTTATTTGAAAATTGACTTTTTTTTTTTTAACGTTTATTTATTTATTTTGAGAGAGAGAGCAAGCACAAGCAGAGGAGGGGCAGAAAGAGGAGAGAGAGAACACTGCCAGCACACAGCCTGATATGGGGCTTCATCCCATGAACCAAGAGATCACGACCTGAGCTGAAATTAAGAGTCAGACACTTAGCTGACTGAGTCACCCAGGTACCCCTGAAAATTGACTTTCTAATGCTATATATTTTTTAAGCCTTTAATAGCCATGCTACGTTAATAGTCTTTCCTTCCCTTCTCTACAAGGCTGCATTACTGTGTAACTCCAGGAGGGTACACTGTATTCTATGGGGCAGGGAGTTGTTTGATGTAGTAACATTGCATCCTCACCTCCCTCTGTGAAAGGAAAAGCATTCAGCTAACTCCTAGTTAAAGTTGGTTATAAGAGTTCTAAACCCTAGCTGTATATCAAAATCACACTGGATACTTTACCAACAGAAATCCTTGAATCCCACCCTAGATTTATTGAGTCATAATGTATTGAAACTCCTCACATGACTGCAGTGCCAGGATTAGGAAACACTGGGTTGGAGCACAGGATAAGTGTGGGAAAAGTGGTTACACATTAATTTGGATAGGAACATTAGTGACCATGTAATTAAGGGCCCTGCATTCAATACTGAGGACATGGAATTTAATTGTAATATAGTAAGGAACCATGAAAAGCTTTCAGAGGGTAATGAAATGATCAGATCCATAAGAAAGGTGAACTTGGCACCAGTGTGGCAGATAAGTGGGCAGAGTGTACAGCCTCAGCCAGGAGAGGCAAGGGAGGAAGTAACACCAAACCTAGGAACAGGTGGGAAGGACTTCAACTAAGGCGGATGCAGGGCAACTAGGGAGGAAGGAAATGGGAAAGGACTCATAAGAAATTTGACAAGATTTGATAAGTGGAATGTCGAGGGTAATAAAGGGGAGAGAAGTTGAAGACCACTCCAAGATTTCCAGGATAAGCAACTGGCTGCAATTTGATGGTGCCACTAACCAAACAGAATACAAGTGGAAGGATAGAATTGAGCAAGTAAACAAATTCGGTTTCCAGCTGTGATGAAATAGACGTTCTTTTTGTAGGCCATTTAGGTGGAGCTAGAGCAGCAAGAAATTGGAAATTAAGATCCAGAGTTCAGAAGAGAATCTGAGGCTGAAATATTAGGTTTGGGAGTCAACAGTTGAGGCCACTGGAAGGTATGAAACTGAACAGAGCACTGTCTATGTAGAATCAAAAGTATTTAGCATAGAATTAGAGATAAAGCAGGCTTTCTCATTCAATTTACTTAATCATATATAATTTTAATAAGGCTCAGACAGAGCACCATTAGAAATAAACAGAAATTAATGTGAAGGTTAAATTCTGATATATAAAACTTATCTGCAATCTTTAGGACAGCTTCAAATATGACTATTGTATCTCTGAACTTACCTACAACATATCAGTCTAGGGGCGCCTGGGTGGCCCATCAGTTGAGTGTCTGACTTCAGCTCAGGTCATGATCTCATGGTTCAGTTCATATGTTCAAGCCCTGCATTGGGCCCTGTGCAGACATCTCAGAGCCTGGAGCCTGCTTCGAATTCTGTCTCTCTCTCTCTGCCCCTCCCCTGCTTGCACTTTGTCTCTCTTTCAAAAATGAACATTAAAAAATTTTTTAAAAAATTTAAGAACATATCCATCTACTGGCTCGGAAAGACCAGTTTCTAAGGTTATTAAATAGCATCATAATTCAGTTAGCTCCTCATCTATGATATCAGTACTCCCCTAAATGAAACAGATATTTGGTGATCTACTTTGACAAAGGCAATATAATTCATCAGGCTAAATCATAAAAATACAACATGTACATAATAAATGCAACTACTGATATCCAGAGACTGTCACTTACTCTGTGTGTCTATGTATGAGTGTACTTATGTGCCAGACACTTTTGTGTAATTTACTTTAATAATCCAAATTCATTACTGCATCTGGAATCATTTCAACAGAAAAAAACCCCAAAACTTAAGATTCCTAGGCCCTGTTACTTCTAGAGAGTGAATGAACTTGTATATACTGAGTCCCAGCAATCTTTGTTTAAAGAAGCATCAGGTTAATTTTGATGCAGGGGATTCAAGAACTGTACTTTGAGAAATACTAGCTTATACTAGTTACACATTTTAACTAAGAATTTTAAAAACATACTGAGAGATGTTCATAGATTACAGAAAAATGTTTGAAATAACGGTGTTATGTGGTTTAAGTAGAAAATATATTTTCTTTATTCAAATATGTTGAGTTTCAGTATATTCTGAAATGACACACAAAGTTATACCAAAGCTATATTTTAATTTCATTACATCCCACTCCAAATTCTTTACCATTTACCAAAAATAACTTTTTATAAAGCTTACTATTTTGTCCAATATTATACAGATGATCAATCTACATATTTTTATGTGTTTCTCTCAAAAATTAGAATAGCTTATGAGGATATTATACAAAACTAATTGGTATATTACACACCAAACGTAAGTACAGATTCTGTACAATGTAGTAGTATACATTCATATATTACAAGAGACTAAGTGCCTTGTTAAAAGTGATAGTTTAAGAAATCTTTCATGGAAAAAATCTGCATTACAAAATGTGGTAGTTTAAGTATCAGCTGCTTTCCTCTCATGAATTTCTTTCGGTGGGCATTAACTGTCCATTTAGCTTCATTAATAGTTTTACCACAAGGCCAGCCTATAAAGTAAAATATATGTCAACAGTAAATGTAAGGATGTGTAAATGACATACATGGCAGTGAGCAGTTCCCTATCTATCTGAAAAGAAACTTTCTTATTAGAGGAAGTTTATCAAGAATAGAGGGGGTACTAAGGCTTTGAAGGGATGCAACTAGTGGCTCAGATAGAATACTTATCAAGAGGGAAGGATTACCTGACAGACACCTGGATAAAAGAGATAGGGAATACTAACTAGAATTAAAAGAAACGCCAGAAAACAGAGTTTCATTGTTATAAAACTAAATAAATTATTCAGATAAGTTTCTGGCTTATTTGCTTAGGAAAGGTCTGCCTTTTATCCTTGGTCTTAAATATCTTAATTTCACATAATATCAAAGGTTTTCCTTGAAGTAAAATGGATTGTCACTTAAAAAAAAGAATCTTTACTAATACAATAGTTCATTATTAGAAGTCCAGAGCAACTGATAAGTACTTACCTGTTTTGTGTGTACTATAAAGCTCATTTTATTTTCCATACTATGGATCTGAAAACATGCATCAGCATCTCCCAACTGCCACATAAAACAACCATACTTAAGACTGATAAGTAAGGCCTGCAATATAATTAGAAATTGTTATATTGAAATGTATGTTAAAAACAACACCTATCTTCTCTTACTATCTACAATGATCTAGTCATGTCCAAACATAATGGTTTTGAATGTTATAATAAATTGTTTTCAAAGTTCCCTCAATAACCTTACAGAGCCTCAAGTACAGAACCACATAGATGGTAGACTCTTAGGAGACTGCCTTCAGCAATGGTATCTTTTGTATCACACTGACAAACATTTTAAAGATGCCCATTCTGTGGTATGTATATACATACGTATAAACACACACACACACACACACACACACACACACACACACACACACAAATAATATTCAGCCATCAAAAAGAAGAAAATAATGCCATTTTTAACAACATGGATAGACCTTGAGGGCATTATGTTAAGTGAAATAAGTCAGAAAAAGACTAAACAGGGTATCGCTTACGTGTGGAGTCTAAAGAAGCTGAACTCGTAGAAACAGAGAGAAACAGAATGGTGGCTACCAGAGGCTGGGGGACAGCCAACATGAGATGTCGGCCCTGAAGTACAAACTTTCAGGTATAAGATGACTAATTTCTGGGGATCTAATGTACACCATGGTGACTATAGTTAATAATACTATATTATATAGTTCATGTTACTGAGAGAGTAGATCTTACGTGTTCTCATCACAAAAAGAAAATGGTAATTATGTAACATGGTGGAGGTATTAGCTAATGCTATGGTACTAATCATTTTGCAATACATATCAAATCAACCCATTGTACACCTTAAACTTACACAATGTTATGTCAATTATGTCTCAGTAAAGTTGAGAAGATGCCTATTCTCTCAGTGACTTTCAAGAAAATTAAATGTACAAGTTTTTACTTTCCGCACGTTAAAAAAAAATCCCTTTCACTTTATTCAGTACCTTTTGAATATTCACATAGTACTTTCAGATCTGAAATTTATGTAATGAGGTAACAGGTTGACTTAAGCAATTCCATCTCACTGAAAATAAGTATAGTGATATATTTATGGTAAAAATAAGCATAATTTTAATAATTAATATAGCCTTCATAAATTCATCAAATTATTTAAAACCAGTATTAGAACAACCTATTTCTGGGGTGCCTGGGTGGCTCAGTCAGTTAAGTATCCAGCTCTTGGTTTTGGCTCCGGTCATGATCTCAGAGTTTGCGGCTTCAAGCCCCATGTGGGGCTCACACTGACATTGTGGAGCCTGCCTGAAATTCTGTCTCTCTCTGCCCCCCACTCAAAATAAATAAATAAATTTTCAAAAAAAAAAAAAAAACTATTAAAAAAAAACCCTATTCCTACACTTTCCTAACAAAAAACTTAAATTTAAATAAGCATTCAATATACTTTTTTGATTATTTTAAAATGAATCTCTCCTAGCAACTTGCATTTTCTTGCCCTAAAATATATTATTTATATACACATATACAAAGAAAGTGTTTGTGCATCCTTTAAAATACACGTTTAAAAACATTTGCTTTCAGGGGCACTTGGGTGGCTCAGTTGGATAAGCGTCAGACTTGAGCTCAGGTTTGTGAGTTTGAACCCTGGCATCGGGTTTGATGCTGTCAGCGCAGAACCTGCTTTGATCTTCTGTCCCCATCTCTCTCTGCCCCTCCCTCCCTCCCTCCCTCCCTCTCTCTCTGCTCCTCCCCTGCTCACATTCTTTCTCTCAAAAATAAATAAAGCATAAAAAAATTGCTTTCTATGACTAGCAGTTCTTAAAATGTTGATAAAATGTTTATTTTTATTTATTCTGAGAGAGAGAGAAAGTGCATGCACAAGCAGGGGAGGGGCAGAGAGTGAGAGAGAGAAAGAATCCCAAGCTGGTTGGGTGCTCAGCACAGAGCCTGAGGTGGGGCTTGATCTTACAACCATAAGATCATGACCTGAACTGAAACCCAGAGTAAGATGCTCAAATGACTGAGCCACCCTGGCCCCCTTATTACAGGTAATTAATGTTATGTGAAAAGGATATGGTTTTAGGGCATTTTAAAAAATAATTTCCATACTTCTTGAAGTTTATTTATTAATTATGAGAGAGAGAGAGACAGAGAGCAAGTGTGGGGTAGGGGGCAGAGAAAGGGAGAAGCATAATCCCAAGCAGGCTCTGTGCTGTCAGCGCAGAGCTTGACATGGGGCTTGGACTCACAAACCATGAGATCAGGACCTGAGCCAAAATCAAGAATCTGGTGCTGGGATGCCTAGGTGGCTTGGCTGGTTGAGCATCCAACTTCAGCTCAGGTCATGATCTCACAGTTCACAAGTCTGAGCTCCTCACGGGGCTCTGTGCTAACAGCTCAGAGCTTGTAACCTGCTTCAGATCCTGTGTCTCCCTCTTTCTCTGCCCTCCCCCCTACCCCACCTTGCTCGCGCTGTCTCTCTAAAATAAACATTAACAAAAACTAAAAAAAAAAAAAAAAAAAAAAAAAAAAAAAGAGTCCAGTGCTTAACGGACTGAGCTACCCAGGCACACCAAGAACCTCACTTTAAAAATGCCCTAAACTGGGGCACTGGGTGGCTCAGTTGGTTAAGTGTCCGACTCCTGGTTTTGACTAGGATCATGATCTCCCATGCGTGGGTTTGAGCTCCCGCCCCACATAGGGGTCTGTGCTGATAGTGCAGAGCCTGCTTGGGATTCTCTCACTCCCCCTCTCTCTGCCCCTCCCCTGCTTGTGTTCTCTCTTTCTCTCTCTCTCAAAATAAATAAATAAGCTTAAAAAAAAAGTGAGGTTCTTAAATGAAACAGTACAATTAATTTACATGAGTGTATATTATGTATAATGGGAAACTAAGAACATCTTCTTTAAAATTAGCCACCTGGGGGCGCCTGGGTGGCGCAGTCAGTTAAGCGTCCGACTTCAGCCAGGTCACGATCTCGCGGTCCGCGAGTTCGAGCCCCGCGTCGGGCTCTGGGCTGATGGCTCAGAGCCTGGAGCCTGTTTCCGATTCTGTGTCTCCCTCTCTCTCTCTCTGCCCCTCCCCCGTTCATGCTCTGTCTCTCTCTGTCCCAAAAATAAATAAAAAATGTTGAAAAAAAAATTTAAAAAAAAAAATAAAAAAAATAAAATTAGCCACCTGTATTTATATTGTAAAATATAACTTTATGGATATGATATGCTAACATAGCTATTTACCAAGGAACACGTTGAAACATTTGAGTCAAGATATCGTAATACCTTACATTGTCTATTTTTTAGATCAGATGCTTGAAATTTGTTTAATCAAGAAGCAAAAAATAGTCCATTAATATGGTCTCAAAACAGTTTAATATATAGAAAAAAATACATCTGTAGTATAAGTCCTCAATTATACGGGGGGCTAAATTACAAAAATACTGGGGTTGTAAATTAAAAAAAAATAAAGGTTTTGTTGCTATGCACAAAGGAAGAGATTGAGAAACCCACAATAATGAAAGCAGCTCAATGGAACTGAAAAGTCAGAGTCCATATGGTAGCTTTGAGAGATACAGTGTATTCTAGAAGGAAAAAGTAGTTCTCTTTACGACATAAAACCTACAAAGGGTCAAGTTGTTTAGTGAGGGAAATCAAAAGGCACAAGAGAAAATGTCAGGAATAGTTGAGAGCAGAAAAGGGAAAACCACAGAAGTGACAAGTAGCAAATAGCCAGCCAGTGGACAGAAGAAACAGTGATGTTGATAACTGATCAGGAAGAATGACACTATGTGGATACCTAAATAACCAGTTTTATTTCAGAAGGGCATTCATTACGGCCAACATAAACTGACATCAGCAAAGGGTATCTATTGCTTGGGTGTGGCAATAGTACTATTATGGTTAAAGATATATCAACAAGCACAGTTAGTTATGAAACAGAAATACATTCACTATAGTAAAACAATGATTCACAACACAGTGCGTTATATACTCAATAGTGTCTACATTTATGTAAGTATGCTCTGATGAGCATATGAAGTTGGCTGAGTTATACTCCCTCATGGGAAACTCTCTTATTTCAAAGAGAAACAAGATATAGAAGGTAGAAGTAATTGATATAAAAAACACAGCTGTATTCTTATGGGTTTTCACGAGAATTAATCTCTGAAGCTACTGTATCCCAAGCAGAGTTTTAATGTAAATGAAGGTATTTTTGCAAATGAAGTTGTTTATTCTAAATTTGTCAAATTCAACCCTAGCATATCTTGATGACTCTAACACAACTGAGGACAAGCTGCCTGTTCCCACCTTTGATGATTAGAAAATATAATCATCTTAAAGCTTTCATAGGTGCTGTAAATTTATCAGTGGTTTATAGAACACAAGGTAATGATCAGGTGGACAGAAAACATCATTACTCTTTGGTTTAATCACCCAAGGACAGCATTTTAATTTATATTTCTAGAAATCGAACATCTTATCCTAAAAAAAGCAGACTATTAACTAATAACATTGTTATCATCCTCTGCCTGCAATTGCTATCTCACTTACTCAATTCCTGGACCATAGTATTATTCATGTGAAATGTTATAATGCTGAACCATCATTTAGGAACTAAATAAAACATTTTATTGTTGCCTAAACCTGGAATGCTGCCAAGGCAAATATAAACTATAGCTTAGAGAAAAGGCTCAGCATCACACCCACAGCGTCACCATTCAGTTTGGTAAAGGATTTGTAAATGTTGTATAAAATGCCCTGAAATAGCAGAGGAGAAATTTATTGAAATGGTGAGGGGAGTTTCTCCTTTGATTTTCTTTAATAAACTTAGTACAAAAGAAATAGAAAACTGGTTACAAACTAATTAGAAGCAGCCTATTTTTTGTGAGTAAAGTAGCTTAAAAAGAAAATGATAATAAGCAAATGATCCAAAAACAAGCTGACATCAGAGGCTTCAAAAAAAATCAAGTTCTAGATAAACTACTGAATTCAGTCCCTATTCAGCCCTATGTCTGTACATATTCTCTACCTCCATTCACGGGCATATCTAACAGCATGGTAAAAATAGCTGTTGCCCATAAGGATGATCCTGAGTTATCATGAAGTGACTAAACTACTTTCAGAAGTTATGTGATTACAAAGTAAGGGTTATAAAAATGATGAAAATAAAAATTAGGTTTATGATAAAATTTCCTAATCTAAAATGACTTTTCTAATTTTTTTAAAAATGTATGTTTATTTTTGAGAGAGAGAAAGAGAGAGACCAAGTGCAAGCAGGGGAGAAAAGGAGGCAGAGAGAGAGGGAGACACAGAATCCGAAGCAGGATCTGGGCTCCGAGCTCCCAGCTATCAGCTCAGAGCCCAATGTGGGGCTCAAATTCACGAACCGTGAGATCATGACTTGAGCTGAAGTCAGACGCTTACCCAACTGAACCACCCAGGTACCCCTAAAATACCTTTTCTAATGTATAAGCTTAGTTATTACTTTAACAGACCATTTCAGGTCTATTCTTAAACAAATCTGAATGAACAAAATAAATTTGATTTTTATTAGCTATTAAAGCTAGAAAGCTGTTCATCCAGATAAATGTGTGAAATATGCTAAAAATGATTGATAATTCCATATTTTATATATAATGACTTTGATTAGAAAAAGGAATATAATATAGTAACAAGCCTCTGATGGGAAAGGTCTGAATCCCTTCCATACTTCATCTTGCCTATTCCCCAAAAGGCTCTTATAACTAATTCTGAATCCCTTGTGACAGGCATTACATTTTTCTTTTGTCTAATGTTTATTTATTTATTTTGAGAGACAGCGTGTGCAAACACAGGGGAGGGGCAGAGAGAGAGGGAGACAGGAAATCCCAAGCAGGTTCCGTGCTGTCAGTGCAGAGTCCAACACCAGCCCAATTTCACAAAACATGAGATCATGACCTGAGCCAAAATCAAGAGTCATATGCTTAACCGACTGAGCACCCCAATATATTTTTCTTTTTTTAACCTGTATTTTTTCATTTAAACTTAATTGATTTTTAAAATAGGTAATATAATCACAGTTAAAAAATTTTTAAGTTGCAAAATGGTACTTAGTAAAGTTTCCCTCCTACTCTTGTTTCCAGTTACCTGGTTGCCTTCTCTAAAGGCTTCATGAAACTTTTTATTCATACACAAGCAATATGTATTCATGTAAATATGGTCTTGACTTCCCCTCATTTTTACACAAATAATAGCATATTACATATGGTCCACCACTGTACTTTTTCACTAAATATATCTTGGAAATCATTCTCTACATTCTTCATTCTTTTATATGGCTGCACAGTATTTCAATGTAGAAATGTACTATGATTAATACATTACATAATTATAGAATACAATTAATGTTAATAATTAACACTTTGTTGACAATCATTTACTTTTCATCCCTCTTCCTTTGCTATTATAAATAAAATTGCAATGAATACTTTTATATATATGTCATTTCTAGATTTTTCAGGTATGCTGGTACAATTTTTTTAAGACATTGGTCAAAAACAGCTGTAAAGCTGAAAATCTACCTTAGTTTCCATGTTGAGAAGATGAAGTCCTTTTATATTCACTCCTACATACACAGGGATGACTTTATGATTGCTGGGGCTTGCCTTTGTAAATATCTGTCCTGTGAAAAAAGCTGCTCCATATGTAGGAATTTCCCAACAATTCTGTAAGAACATGCGCTGAAGGTGATGCATTTCTTTACTGACACCCTCACTTGTACTAAGATTCTAAAAACAAATAAGGTAAAATAAAAGAGATGTGAAAAGAGAACACATTTTTGATAATCCAAGTAGGTCAACTAAGCAGTTTCTAAAATCGTGGCTGCCCCCAGAGAAGAATAAAATTGTGTGAACGAACTATCCCAAGAGCAGTTCTTAATACTTCAAAAAAGAAAGAAATATCAAAGTATAAAAATAGTGCTTGTCTATTCTATTAGGTTTTAAGTGTCTCATGGACAAGGATAGTGTATAATTTCATGGTGTGTGAGGTGTGTGTTTAATCTCTAGTTCTTACCACAGTATCCAGCATATAGAACATGGTGTGTGAGGTGTGTGTGTGTGTGTGTGTGTGTGTGTGTGTGTGTGTTTAATCTCTATTCCTTACCACAGTATCCAGCATATAGAAGGTATTCAGTAAAAGATTCCACATTATTAAAAATAAAAATATGCTTTCAGTTTCATGTGAACTAGAAGATGAATTTTTAATTTCAGTACTATAAATTTAATGTAACTACATTTAAAACATATTACACGATTTAATTTACAAAATTTCAACTAGGGTATAAAATGTCTTTTTATTTCTGTTAAACAGCTTACCTTATATTCATGAAGTATTCGGTTTGTCCAGTGAGGTGCCTTACTTTTCAATTTGGTAATAGGTACAATGGATTTTAGGTTTTCTTCACTGTAAGCAAACAGGCCAACATACTTTAAATAAATCATCTTTAGTAGCTAAAGTACATAAATCACTCAGAAACAAATTGCTTTAAATAACAGGATTTTTTTTAAGTAACATGATTTTTGAGCTGAAAAATATATATTGTAAAATATTAGAGAACTCTAAAGATTTTAAGCAAAAGCCACAATCCTAACATTCTCATTTAAGAGAATGTTTCTTCTTTCAATAACCACAAAATACTTTTGAAAATTGAAAACTACAATAAACAAACTTCAGTGTTTAAAACCTCAGTGTTTTTTCTCAAAAACTGAAATCTGCCTTATGACATTTTCTACTACTTATCAAGTCAGGTTTTAATGAACTTATATTTAAACATATAATAAAGATAAGTTAAAGAAAAAATATAAGGTATATCAAGGGGTGCCCATCAGTAGAGCATGTGACTCTTGATGTCAGAGTTGTGGGTTTGAGCCCCATGTTGGGTGTAGAGATTACTTAACAAAATAAAATCTTAAAAAAAAAAAAAAGGTGTATCAAACCAGAGTCAAATGTAAGAAAAATAATTTTGGAGAGAATATAACTTTAAGAATGCTTTACCATTTTTTCCCTTCATTTCATGCCTCCTCATATCCTCTAGTTCCAAACCAAAGTGTAAATATTTCTTAACAACATTTTTAAACTTTCTTGGTTAAATAGAATCTTGAACATAGCACAAGACCACATACTGTATTAAATACTTACTTTAGGAAACCTTGCTTATGTTTCTTACTCTCATAATTTCCATAAACTATTTGCAACAGTAGACTTGCCAATGTTATCAGTTTAGTGTCAGGAGCTGTATAAAAGCCCTTTAATAAATTATATCTGGCTTCATCAAAGAGGATAAGAATAGCTAGTGGGTCTTCAATCTTAAAAGAAAAAGCAGAATTTGGTTATTGGGCTACAATTTCCTGTTAGAAATATACAACTTGTCACTGTCTAATATGGAAAAGCAAACGCTACATATTTGTATATAAATGAGCTGTTATTTAGAACAGGGGTTGACAAATTTTTCCTGTTAAGGGACAGAGAGTAATATTTGAAGCTTTATGAGTCACATAGTCTCTCTGAGCACAAAAGCATCCATAGACAATACAGTAACAAACAGGTCTGTGATGGTGTTCTAATAACACTTTACATATGGGTACCAAAATTTGGTACCCATAAAATTTTCACATGACATGATATATTATCCTTTTGAATTTTTTCAAACTTTAATAGCTTACCGAGTATATAAAAATAAACAGCAGGTCAGATACATCAATAGGCTATAGTTTGTTAACCTCTGATTTACAGTCTAATAAAAGATTATCATTAGTTTATGGATATGGATAATTTCTACCACAATTTTACCTAAATCAATTATATTCCTCAAACATTATTCTACATGTTTCATATGATATAGTAGTGAACCTCAAGGAAAATACAAGAAAGTGTATTAATTCCTAGAAGTGTACATGTAGTTTTAAAAAATTTTATTTTAAAACATTTTTTATTTCATTTGACTAAAACTACTTGGTACTTCCAAATAACACTAAAGGGGAGCAGAAGATTTTTCCCTAAGTTTCAAAAACGTTATGAAGTTTCACTTTATCAAGTAGGATTAACGAAGATTGAAAAAAGCTAGCCTACAGAATATACCTATACTTAGAAATAGTCACCAATTATAGTTTCTGAATGAATACTTAAAGGATTTCCAAATATAATTCAAAGTGATCTCAATTCCCTGTGGTAAAAGTTACTTTTGTCTTACTAACTAAAATAATATCCTATAATGCTCTATATAATATTAAAAACCTAAAAGAGAATTTCACGGGGAAAAAAGGTGGGAGGAGTGTTCTAGATTAAAAGTGACTAAAGAGATAACAACCAAATAGAAATTATGAACCTTGACTAGATCCTACATATGGGGGCTATAAAAAAAAGACTTTTAAACAATTGGGGGAAATCTGAATGTGGATCACATATCAGACATTATTATGGAAATATTAATTTTTCTAGGCTGAAAATGGTTGAAAAAGGTTCATATGTCCTTTTTCTTAGGAGATATATGTAAGATACGTAGGGATTAAGTGCTATGATGTGTGCAACACACTTTTAAATGGTTCATAAAGAAAAAATAGAGAAGATGAAGGAAATAAAGCAAAATATTAGCCATTAGTGAATTTAATGAATTTTATTACCTTTTCAACTTTCCTATGGGCTTTAATTTCTCAAAATTAACAGTGAATTTAAAGAGTTTGAGTAGTTAAGCGTTATAATTCCTAACAGTATATTTAGTGAGCATTAGTCAACAATTATTCTTTACTAATGAAATCAGGCCATTTTCATCCTAAAGGAATAATGCAACCAATAAATGTAATTCTTCCATTTTTCAGACGGTACAAATTGGAATTTCTTAATTACATAATGAAAGAACACAACTATCTTATCAGATAATCATTATATTCTGATTTGTCTTAAGGTACTTACTAAACTTTGCTTCTTTTTCACCTGAGTTCACTTTATAGTCTTTATAATAATGCAATTAATTTATCATCCAAGTTTTATCATTATTGCTCTTTTTCTCCACCAATCAACTTTTAAAATATTACTTAGGTGGAGAAGGAAGATAGACTGAGTATTCTTAAATTACTTGCAGACTTTATGGACCTAATATTTTTTTTAACTGTGCTAAAATACACATAACAAAAAATATTTTAACCATTTTAAGTGTATAATTCAGTGACATTAATTACATTCACAATGTTGTACAAATATCACTATTTACACAACTTTTTCATCATTCAGAAACTTAACCACTAAGCAGTAACTCCACACTCTCTAACACCTGTAGTGACCACTAATTTACTTCATGAATTTTCCTATTCTAGATACTTAGTGTAAGTAGAATCATACAATATTTGCACTCTTCTTGCATCTGGCTTGGCTTATTTCACTTAGCATAATATTCTCAAGGTTTATCCATGTCATGGCATGTATCAGAACTTCATTTCTTTTTGTGGCTGAATAATATTCCATTTTATGTGTATACCACGTTTTGTTTATCCATTCATCTCTTGATGGAAACTTAGTTTGTTTCCACCATTTCGGTTATTGTGACTAATGCTGCTTTGAACACTGGCATATAGATATGTTTAAGTTCCTATTTTTAATTCTTCAGGTATATATCAAAGAGTGGAACTACTGGATCATATGGTAATTGTGTTTAGTTTTTCTGAGAACCGCTATTGTTTTCCACAGCAGCTATACCATTTTACATTCCTACCTGCAATGTATAAGGATGACATTCTTTGTAACTTTACCAACATGCATTATTTTCTTTTTTTTAATTAAAATAGCCATCCTAGGAGGTGTGAAGTAGATTCTCATTGTGTTTTGATGTACATTTCCCTAATGACCATTGATGTTGAGCATCTTTTCACAAGTTTCTTGGTCATTTGTGTATCTTCACTGGAGAAATCAAGTCTTTTGCCCATTTTAACTGGGTTGTCTTTTTCTTGTTGAGTTGTAGCTCCCATTCTGTAAATCGTCTTTTCACTTTCTTGATAATATCCTTTGATGCACAAATGTTTTTAATTTTGAAGTCCAATTTATGTATACTTTCTTTTGTTGCTCACAGTTTTGGTGTCCTATTTAAAACTCCATTGCCAGGGGCACCTGAGTAGCTCAGTCAGTTGAGTGTCCAACACTTGGTTTCGACTGAGGTCATGATCTCACAATTTTTGAGTTCAAGCCCCATATCAGGCCCACACCGTGGAGCTTGCTTGGGATTCTCTCTCCCTCTCTCTGTCACCCTCCCCCTGCACATTCTCTCTCACTCTCAAAATAAATGAGTAAGCTTAAAAAAAAAATCCATTGCCAAATCTAAGGTCATGAAGATTTATCTGTTGGTTTGCTTCTAAGAGCTTTATGGTTTTTAGCTCTTATATTTAAGTTGTTGATCCAGTGAGTTAATTTTTATATATGGTGTGATTCAGGGTCCAATTTCATACTTTTGCACCATCTGTTGAAAAGACCACTCTTTTTTCATTGGCACCCTTGTCAAAAATCAGCTGACTATAGATTTTGGTTATAGATGTATTGGGTTTATTTCTGTACTCTCATTTCTAATCCATTGGTCTATATAATTGTCCCTAATTACTGTGGCTTTTGTAGTAAGTTTTGAAATTGGAAGTGTGAATCCCTCGACTCTATTCTTTTTTCAAGGTTGCTTTAGCTATTCAAGGCCCTGTGTAATTACATATGAATTTAAGGATTGCCTTTTCCACTTCTACAAAAAGGCTTTTGGAATTTTTTTTTAGATAATGTGGTAAATCAGTACATGCTTGGCTAGTGTGGACATCTTAACAATATTAAATCTTCCTACCCTTAACACAGATGTCTTTCCAGTTACACAAATCTTTAGTTTTTTCCAGTAATGTTTTATAGTTCTGAGTGTACAAGTCTTGCACCTCTTTTGTTAAATTTATTCCTAGCATTTTCTTTAAGATGCTATTTTGATTAATTTCTTAATTTCCTTTTTTGGTTGTTCATTGATGTATGTAGAAACCACTGATTCTTGTGTGTTAAGCTTGTAACTTGCACATTGTTGCATCTATTTATTACCCCTAATAGCTTTTTTGTGGATCCTCTATACAGGATCATGTCATTTGCGAATAGTTTTATTTTTTCCTTTCTAGTATGGATGCTTTTTATTTTTTTCTTCCTTCCTTCCTTCCTTCCTTCCTTCCTTCC